TAGTGCAGAGATCGTGGACATGGGAGGCCTCCCCCCAAACCTGGATGAGGTCCACGATCTCTGCACTAGACCAGATGGGTGCCCGCCTCTTGTGGCCCCGGGCAGGCTCCTGGGAGCCACCAGCCTGGTCCCGGGAAGAGGCGGAGGGCTGGGTGGCAACAGGTGGATGGCTTGTGCTGTGCCAGGTGCAGGGTCTGCTGGCTGGTTGCTGGCAGGCTTGAACTTGGCACAAGCACCCTAGCCAGCCCGTGCCCCTTTAAGGGCTCCGGGGCCGGGAGGGGGGCAGACAAGTTTCCCTGGTTGTGCCCAGAGTGGCCACAAGGGCTAGCCTCCCCCTAGTTCGAATTAAGTGGCTACACAGCCCTTAATTCGAACTACTTAATTCGAACTAGGCGTTAGTCCTCGTAGAATGAGGTTTACCTAGTTCGAATTAAGCGCTCCGCTCGTTCGAACTAGCGGTTTGCCTGTGTAGCGCCTATGAAAGTTAATTCGAACTAACGGCTCTTATTTCGAATTAACTTTGTAGTGTAGATATACCCACAGCGACACGAATTTATCTGCTCTACAGCCTAAGCTATCAGCCCACTGGCTTTTAGTGCATGCAAGATAGACTCAGACACTGAGCTCCATAGTCCCAGGTTTGATTGTGCCTGTCAGCATTTCCACTGCACTGCAATCGGTGTTCAGGTTCCTCCTCTCAGAGAAGTCCCCACTGTCCATCAGCAGGGAGCAGCTTGCGTTCCCCTCCGTTCTAGGCCAGCATCCCTAGGTGTGCCACCTGTTTGCATGTTTGCTGGCTTGCTAGGATCCCCAGGGTGCTACAGCTCCGTCAGCCCTCTTAGCACAAAGAAGCACACTGGCCCACAATGCATATCTGGAGTTATCCCACTATAGGGCCAAATGCTCAATTGGTGTAAGCTAGTGTAGATCCGTTGAGGTCAGTAGAACTAAGCCAACTTGCCCCAGCTGAGATTTTACCCATGCTGATCCAAGGGAAATCAATGTGGAAGCTTGAATTGCTCCCCCTCACTCTGTACTAAGAGTCCATTTATAGATGGACTATGAAGGGTTAATAAATGAGCAGTAGATTGTATAAGGGTGCTACAAACACATGTAGGCTGCATCTAGACTGGCATGATTTTCTGCAACTGCTTGTAACGGAAAAGTTTTTCCATTAAAAGCATTTGTGGAAAAGAGCGCCTAGATTGGCACGGACGCTTTTGCACAAAAGCACAAAAGCCAATCTAGACGCGGTTTTGCGCAAGAAAGCTCCGATCGCCATTTTTGCCATCGGGACTTTTTTGCGCAAAATGGTTCTCGGTTGTCTACACTGGCCCTCTTGTGCAAAAGCATTTGCGCAAGAGGGCTTTTTCCCGAACGGGAGAGTCATTGTATTTGCAGAAGAACACTGACAATCTTACATTAGATCGGCAGCGCTCTTGCGCAAATTCAAAGCAGCCAGTGTAGACAGCTGGCAAGTTTTTCCGCAAATGCGGCCACTTTTGCGGAAAAACCTGCCAGTCTAGACACAGCTGGAGTGTGGTCAACTTTTGTATGAAATTTTCCCCTTTTTTTCAATAGTTCAACAAGTACCGGGCCTTACCCGAAGGCAACCACAGCTAGCAGGGATTCCACTGGGATTTCAGTCAAGCCCAATGTAATTTCAGGCGACATTTTAGGGTTACAATTAAGTCCACATTTATTTGCTTGTTGTTCAAGCTGTGATCAGTGGGCCTGGCAGTGGCAGAAAACAATCATCGAGGGACAGTGCAAGGACGCTGATCCACCTCGTTGTGGTGCCCCTGGTGAAGTGTGAGGCAATGCGGCCTAGTAGAGGCAGTACTGCCCTGCCACCCAGGAAACCCATTTTCTAGTCCTAGCTCTGTCACTGGCCTGCTGGGTGACTGTGAGCAAGTCACCTCACTGACAAGTACCTAAGTTTCCCATCTACAAAATGAGGCTAACAACACTGCCTTCTCACGTAGCACTCTTTGGCGCTCTGCCCATAAATCTCCAATATTGTTATAGAATACTAGGACTGGAAGGGACCTTGAGAGGTCATCGAGTCCAGTCCCCTGCCCTCATCGCAGGACCAAATACTAACTAGACCATCCCTGATAGACATTTATCTAACCTCCTCTTAAATATCTCCACAGATGGAGATTCCACAACCTCCCTGGGCAATTTATTCCAGTGTTTGACTACCCTGACAGTTAGGAACTTTTTCCTAATGTCCAAACTAAACCTCCCTTGCTGCAGTTTA